AGTTCCTGATCATTTTTCTTGCAGAATTAACAGCTATGTTTCTAAGAAAAGCATGTCAGTAGGAAGGGAATCTTACCTTGCTGTTGAGTCTTAAAACTGGAGAAGTCAGGCAGGAGAGAGCCATGCCTAGAGCTGCAGGGCCCTGAAGGAGGACCACTGGGAAGCCGCGCCCACTTCCCACGGGAAGCTGGAGGACGCTACACGTTCCTTGGTTCCAGGTAGAAGTGCTGAGGTGAATTATCTGCTTGACTGGTATCCAACACAGTTCCTTGCCTTACTTTGTGAAAAGGTTCATGGCATTGGGGAACCACAGCCAAGAAATAGTATCGTACTTGGGATAGAGAAGGATACTACAATTTCATTCTGTTGCCAGGACCATCTTTAACAAATAGTATGCTTTTCCTTAAAGTTATCAATGGATTGGGCAATAATGGGTGAGTGAGGGACCTTTCTAACTCTCCCAGAGGTCACTTAGAGCAATAACAATGCCGTGAAATGTCTTACGGTAGGAGAAATTTTTGAAGTATTTATTCTAATGATTATAAGAATACAATTGGATAGGTGGGATATGTGCGGAAAAGCAAAGTCAAGTAAATATTTCCTTGCTAAGTTTATGACTTAGAGAATCTAAATTTCAAAATACTACTGAAATAAGCAGGAAGGACAAGGAGATTTGAAAAACATACCACAGGCATGCACACACACATATTACAAAATCTGTCCAGAAGTAATGTTCTAAAAATGAATAAGGGAAGGGCAGGAAAAAATGCTTAGTACCTAGTGCTATATTCCATAAATGAGAAATGATTGGAAGATTTCTTTTGTTCCTGTGAGAAGCACCAATTCAGAAACTAATACTGTTGTTTTTTGTGTTTTCTTTGGGAGGATGATTAAGGACATGGCAATGTTTAGTTATGAAGCTGATCCTGCAAAAATAAAAGGCAACCCACTCATTCACACACCTACTATTTCAATATTGGAAGATCCATAAGTCTATGGTAACATTTTATAATACACTGTTCCTTTGTTTGGAGAAAATAAAAGAATAGGCAAGCACAGTATATGTTACTGCTTTTCAAATAAATTGTCTTTTAACTAATTGAATATTACAAGTGATTGACTTAAACAAAATGGGAGAACTGGGAAGATATTTTTTCCTTGAGCTCTGCTGAGTCCTTAAAGTATTAGGTAGAAACATTTGTAGGCTTTCTGGAAGGACAATATCTAGGGAACTCTGAACTCACCTAACAGCGCAAGTAATGAGGGAAACACAAAGATTAGGTTGAGCATAGACATCCAGAGGTATAAAGGTTTTTATCTTGGCAATTTTCTGCCTTTGAGATAGTTCATTGGGCAAGGTTTTCTACTACCATAGCTCTGGGCTGAACCTTAGGCCAAATATGTCAAGAATTCTCTTTGTTTCCACCTTTGCACTATCATCTCAGAAGAAATATATACTATTCTATTTGGATAACTATTTATCCAAGTTACAGTAAAGGAATAAATGTATTACTAATTTCTGGTATTGGCTTATTAAATTTATAGTGATTTTGATTCAAAAATTTTACTACAACAAATAACTCATTAAAGACTCCTATTTTCTACAGTAAAATTGTTAGAGAGAAATCCATATATGATCAGATATAAGTACAAAGTCAGATAAGGTAGAACAATTGATAGAAAGCAAAAGATAAACAAACTTAACTTTTATTCAGAATTATCTCTAAGGGTTACCTACTGTAATTTGTATATAGAACATTTATAAATTTGACTTATTGTGATGAAGAATAGACTACTACATGTTTTAAAAATGCACAATATCTCTAAAATTTACATTGTTCTAATTTATCCTTAATTAGAAGAAAAGTAATGAAATATCCACAATATTAATTTTGTCTGCTATATGTGCCAACTTTTAAGGATAAATGAGATCATCAATGTTTGATGCTTACATCATAATGGGAGGGATTGATTGATATATTATCCATGACAAGGCATTGGTTTCATTAAAGAAGTGTACTGAGTATTTCTTTACTAATTTCCATATGAAGTGTGAATTACAAACAGAGAGAAATAGAATTAAAAAGGAATATATAAGTATTTGAATATATGTTTTCAAGAAAATGTATACCAAAATGTGTTTCTGGAATGGCAAAAAATCCTCCCATTCATCAGTTTATATTCAGAAAAGATGTTTGCAATTTTTTTTCCCACAAACACTGAGTTAAAATTTACCTGTTTCATTTCAGGGGGCAGAAGGAACACAATAAACATAACAGCTATATAAATCAGGGCCCTGCTAGTCCAGAAAGTCTGCAGAATCACAGAAAGGCTGATGCTGTTCTAGATGCTGACTCTGAACTGAGCAGACAGACTTCAGGGGACAACGGCTTCCAGCCCTTCCAATTCTCACTTCTACAACTTTGCTGTCACCTGATCCAAAGAGTCCCTGTCTTGCAGCAGACAGCGGGCTGGTCACTTCAGTGCAGGCTCCTCCCATCAATGACTCCTTATACCCCATGGTTCAGGCAGCAGCAGGGATGGGGAGTCCTGAATGGCACGGCAGTGTCTAAAAATCCACTTCAAAAGCAGCATATGTACTGGGAAAATGGTCAGAATCAGAACTGTGCTCCAGTTTGTCAGAAAGCCATGGCAAGATGAGTTCTGTGGATGTGCTTACAGATAAGAACCTGAAAAGCCAGAGACTGTCCTGGATATGCACTTTAATCAGGAGTCTTTAAGTGGAGAGGCTTCCTTATGTGACACTGAAGGAAAGCATGGAGATATGTGAACTGCTGGCTTTGAAGATGGACAAAGGGAACCATGAGCCGAGGAATGTGGAGAGTTTTGAGAATCTGGGCAAATGCAAAAGAAATTCTCCTCCAGTGCCTCCCGAACCAGAGGCTGTGGTGAGATTTTAATTTTGGCTTGGTAAGATCTGGATCAGACTGCTGACCTAAAAGCCTTAAGAAAGTACTGTACTTCACTGTTTTTAAGCTGCTGAATGTATGGTGATTTGTCATGACAGTGACAGAAATCCTGATATGTTTGTGTACATACCCTCAAATTCTGTATCTGTCTCACTTTTACTTCAAATATCCAAAAATTTTCTTCAAAGTACTTCCTTTAATTCATTTTTCCAATAGCGTTATCTCAGTGAGACCTTCCCGGTTGTTGTGTGTAGAGTGACAATGTCTTCTCTGCCACCCCAAATAATTCTGAGGCTGATTTTTAGTTTTATGTCTTCACTATCAAGAAATTTCTAAAAGATGGCATTTTCATTGCTGATCTTATTTGTTGGGTCTTCACTTCTAGATAGTAATTCCTTGAGAATGGTACCTTTATTTCTCTTTCCCCCACAACTTTCTAAAGTGTAGAAAAAATCCTGGTACTTTGCAATCTTAGTAGACATTTAATGAATAAATGAATGTAAAGTAGATGCTACTACTTTTTTACAGCATTGACAAGCTATGCTTATGCACTCATGTACTTATATTTTTGTCAGTCTTCCCTGGGTATGAGATTCGTAAATGGATAACATTTATCTTCTTAAGTAGAAGTATTTCATACAATGGCTTTTGTTTCAAAGAACCAGGACAAGAGACTTCTTGAAAATTCTGATATTCTTTTTACAGGAATATAAAGGTACACAACCACTGGAACAGAGTATTCAGGAAATTTAGGGAGACATGGATGTAAAGATTAGAAATTTATCTTATGGATTAGAATTCTGACTTATTGAATACTGCCTTTGACTACATAGAGAAGTTTGGGCATAACTTTTGGGACCTTGAAAATAAAATTCTTATCATGGATTATAGTTGAACTCAGTGTTAAACTTTAATGGATCTGTGAATTCTAGCCTTTTCAAAAACATAAAGATATCTGCCAAGATACCTACCAAGGAATTAAGGCAAGGAATCAAGGTAAAAACACCTACCAAGCAGTTTAGAGGGTCATTTTTGCCCTTATGTGAATGCTAAAAGCATTGTAAAAGTTTTATTTTGTTATGTTGACTCAAAAAAGCTTTACTTTTGTAAATTGAGATTTATTTCTGCATTATTCTACATTTCTGCATCTTTTCACCTACAAATAAAAATAAAACTATATGTTGTTATAGGAGATATATCCATTTGAAAATATCATTACTCTCTAGTTATGAGAAAAATTGAAAATTATTTTGTAACTTTTAACAGTGATTATTAAACATTTTGTCACATATTAGACAACAGTCAAATAGCACCTATAAATTTATCAAATTAAAAGAGCTCAATAAAATCCCTGTAGGCTGGAGTCGTAGCTCAGTGGCACAGTACCTGCCTGGCAAGCTCAAGGTCTTGAGTTTGATTCCCTGTACCAAAAAAAGTCTGTGAAACATGCAAATTAGCTTAACGTGTCTTAGAGAGTTGGGGTGATATCATACATCACAATTCATACGCCTATCTTCATCACTTGATTCAGTTTTTTTCTGAATGAGCATGCTTTCCCATAGGCTTCTTGACAAGATGCAGCTTGAGAGTACTGTCTGCTTTCATGGCCATCAGATGTGTAGAAACCTCAAGTTTACAAAGTCTAAAATATGACAAATGCTAAAATTAACCAATGTTGCTTTATGTGCTCCAAATTTGGAGCCTAAAAGATAAGACATCCCACTGAGCAGCTCCAACTCTGTTGCCCCTTAAGTCGTGCATCCAAATATTCAGTAAATATTTCCATAGCTTGCAAGTGTCAGGCTCTAGGCTAAACGTTGTGAATTTGATAATAAGCAAAACAGACCTGTGTTGTCAGAAGACTTAAACACTGATGTGGGTGAGCGTCTCAAACAAAATAATAACACAAAACACATCCTTATGGTTTAGATCTAGAATGTGTCCCCCTAAAGCCTTGTGTGTTCAGAGAAGGGGCTTTTGGAAGAGGAATGGACCGTGGAGACTCCACTTACCAGTGGGTTAAAGCTTTGCTGACGTCACAGTTGAATGTGCTGTGAGGAGGTGCCCCGGATGGAAACGGCAGACCATGGAAGTGGGATGTGGAAGGTGGGAGATGGATGTGGAAGGGCCCATCTCCCTCCTTGACTCCTCCCCTCTGTCTCTGCTTCCTGGCCCCCGGAAATGAGCAACTTTCTTCCTCCCAGACTCTTTCCACTGTGCCGTTTTCCCCTTGGAGCTGACCAACCATGGACTGAAAGTGTGAGCCAAGATAAACCTCTCCACCTTTAAATTGTGGGTGTTGGGTACTGTGCCCCAGTGACAAGAAAGTGACCAAGACACACATGGTTACACACTGCTATGTACTAAGAAGGAGAGATCCGGATACCAGACAGTGCAGACTCCTGTGCCGGACAGGGAGGTCAGTGAGCTCTCTTTTGAACAGGGGATGCAAGGAGAGTGACCTGAGAACATGGGGTCGCCCAGGAGAAGGTCTGAGGCCGGAAGGGACACTGACATCTGAGGAAGAGAAGGAAGGGTACCGCAGCTAAAATCTAGAAGGCAAAGAGGAAACTGGCATAAGACGAAATGGAAAGGAAGGGGGCTCTAAGCTGGTTTAAAATAATTGCAATTTAGACCAAGAGCAATGCAGAGCCACAGACTGGGTGTAAGTAGGGGAGTAACCTGCTGTTTGCATTTTTATGAAACCACCATTTATTTGTTTTGTGGATGTGCTTTTCTGCTGGGCAGATAAAAAGAGAATTTGAGCAAGAACATTTGACTCAAAGAACCTTTACATGAAGGCAAAAGAGGGTGTTTGTTAATAAATACAATTCATTCCTGTCATGACTAGGTATGAAATGAATTTTCAGCTTTAGCATTCCAGAAAATATGTGAATAAAAGTGTCATTGTAAATTTGCATAAGTACAAGTGATTCCAATTATCCTAAGAGAATTTATAACTGAAGTACAATACCATCTATGTTTGACTCTTTCTGGGTAGGATGCTTTTGAACATTCCTCATAGTAAATTTTAAAGCTTGTTTGGGATCTTATTTTACTGTTTTCTATCATGTTATTTCACCACTGAAGATTTTAAGTCATCAGGCAAATATGTTGTGCTGTTTGAAGAGGCCGAAGGGCCAGGACAGGCACGAATACTTGTTGTGCAATCATTAACTTTTCATTCTTTAAATACATTTCTGTTTAATATTGAAAATGTATTAACAGAGTGAGATGAAAAGAATAGCTATTTCTCTTTCTCCTCCTCCTTATACTCATGCACTTCATCCAGAGGGAAAAGGACAAACATAACTTCTCAGGGAAAAGAACATTTTATTCTAAAACACACTGCAAGAGTTAATTTATAAAAATAATCACTGGCAGGAAAAAATTATTAATAGTGATATTTTTGCCAGTCTGATGAGTTACTCTGAAATTAAAGGACAGGTAATCTTCCGTAGAAAAAGGAGGCTGAAAATAATTAATTAGTGCATATTCCAAAAAAGTAAAAGTTGTAGGCCTAGCACTTCTTCAATCTCATTCTATATTTCATATATTCCTATGGTTTTCTATGCAGTGCTGAATATAAAAATACACGGGCAATTTCACAATGTTGTATGTAGCCTAATAATGGAAGTGCTGTATTCTTTAAGAGTCTGCACAAAAGAAGACCATCAAAGACAAAGTTGAGGGCCAAGAATGGCTGAGTTTTCTGAGCCAATATTTGCAAGATAAGTAAGATTTGCCAGGAAGAGGAGGTAGAGAAAGAGTATGTAAAAAGCTCAGAGGGTAAAAACAACATCCTATGTTTCCAGAATTGTAAGCAATTTGGAATAGCTCAAGTATGGAGGACTATAGGGTCCTAATTCCTTGTGATGAATCTAGGATGATAAGAAATTTAAGCTTTGTATGCACAGAATTTTAAGCACTAATTATACAATGAGATAAGTATAAGGTATTACTGTCATTTTTATTATTCCTATTCCTTGAAAATTTTTGAATAAAATTGAAAACAGAATTAAATCATCAACAGGATTTAAAAGAATGGACACAATTCAGGCATTGTTAATAATGCTAATCAGTGTCATTTCACATCAGCTCTTTTTCTCTCCTACTTCTGCATTTTGTACTATTATATATAAGTAAAAAGAAAACTGGAACTGCTAACCATGTTTATCGGACAAATGGCTGATTGTGAAAATGTCCTCTAACTACATCCTCCCTGAGAACATCTGCATTAGGAAAATTGAATATTTGATAATCTACTCTAATGTTATTATATCTTTAAAAGGGGAAAATGGTTTTAGAAGTAGAGGTGGGTGCTTCAGAATTCAGTTGGCAGAGTGAAAAGTTTAAGGCAGAATTAACTTTTAAAAGCACTGCTGAGTCTTTCTAGGCTGCTCTGTAACAAAAAAAGGAGCTGGATTTTCCTTTAATGTACAGAAGAGGAAGCTACACAATGGAAAAGTGACTTTTTGAGGATTTTAATTTTGCTTTTTTTCTGCTCTTACGAAAGCTGACCCAGAATTGTCCTTAGCAGTTTTACCATTCTTCTGCTTCCCTACTAGCCTGACTCATATTTCCACAGGGATGAAAATACAGTTGCTCATTACCTTTTGTAGACTATTCAGAGTTGACCAAGTGCTTTATTCTACATCAGCCTAACAAATGTTGGGGGCTGGGTAGAAACCGCCTCATTTCCTGTGATATCTGTTTTAGAATTTCACAGAGTGAACAAGAGAAATAAATCAGTGCAATTAAAATAATCAGCAACTCATCAGGAATTCCTGCATTTATCTAAGTATTCATTTTCAAAAATTATATTTGATTTTTAATTATGTATATACAAAACACAGCAACATTTAATCATAAAGACAAGTTTTTCCTTTTTGCTTCATATTTTTGCATTCATAACTGACATTTTAAACTTAGCAGATCAAAATAAATGCATTTTTATCTCTATATGAGTAAGAGACTCTATCCTTATACGTATCTGTATCTGTGTAGGCACTATGCCAATAGGCAAGGCTTGTAGCATTATTTTTTAAGAGAAAGCAATAAATTGGCTTGTATTTAGGTAAACATGCTTCATTCAAGTAATTAAGGAGAGTACATACCTTGTGTGGTGGTATTTCCTTAGAGAAATGTGAATATTTCTCTTATTAATTATTTGGAAATTGTAATAACGAACCATATTGTTTTGAAAAATAATGGCGTAGGTAAAAGCAGTAACAAACAAGTCCTTCATTACAATTGTAAAGGGATCCAGTAACAAGGAAAGTGTGAAGAAAGTGATTGTGTTTGGGAATTACCTACCTGAGAGGCAGAAGTTGCTGGCACATGTCTTCAAAAGAATGTACATCTAAGGTATTTAGAGGATGAAAGAATTTTTAGCAAAAAGAGTTAGCTTTAGGCTATATTTAAATTTCACACAACAGCCTCACTGCTTTGTATACAATTGGAATATCCTTTCTAAAATACATGCTTTATTCTTCCAAATTTCTGAGAGTACAATTTTTTACTTTCAGAGGAAATAATGTCCTCCTTTATGTACATTTCAAATACATCTTGTGTTTTCAAAGTATTTGCTTTGCAGAAAAGTTGTAATGTTCTACAAACAGTCCTCATGAGGTCTACACTACTTCACTTGTTCACCTCTTATATCACTATGTTAAATTTATTGCAATTAATAAAGTAATATTGACAGATTGTGATTAACAGAAGTCAAAACTTGCTTCAGATTTCTTCAGTTTTTAACTGAATGTCCGTTTTCTTCACCAGAATACCATGTTAGAGTTAGATGTCACGTCTCCTTTGAAACTGCCAGGCTGTGACAATCCCATGTATCCAGCTGTCTTCTTACATTATCATTCATGTGAGTTACAGTCATGTCAGATTCTCCATGTCAGTATTGAATTCCTGATATTCCTGTCCAACTGCCGCCCTGTCCCACCTATTTGCTCAAGCCCGAAATCTTGTTACTGTCTTCCATTTTTCATCCCTCTCCTTGAGCTAGCAAATGAAATCCCCAAGCAAATCCTCTTATTTTCATCCATTCACTTTTTTGACTTCACTTTCACTACCCAGTTCTAGCTGCCTTATCTTTCTTTGACCATGGAAAAAATTATTTCTACAAAATTATTCTTGCTTTCATTTCTATTTTCTTCTAGTATTTTTCATACCTAACTTTTGTTTTCTGCTTTTCAATCTTGTCTCATTGTACTTAGCATATAATTCAAATCCTGAACATAGTCTATAGCAGTGGAGGGAACCCTATGGCATACGTGCCACAGCAGGCTGCTTGTATCATTGGAAACTGTAAAAGGTTCGTCATCCCTGGTCTATAAAGTTTTGCCCCAGCTACTTTTCTCATGCTACTTTTCCTCTTTACTCATTTTTCTCTATCTCAGGTTTACTTCTTATGTGCCTCTAGCTCCCTTTTTTTTCCTTTGAAGCTTTCATACATATAGTTCGGTTTCTCTGAATTTTTTTGTCCAATTGCTCACAATGTACACTTGTCTGTTTGTTTGTTTTGGTACCGGGGATCGAACCCTGGTTTTTGCACTTGGGAGGCAGGTGACAGAACCACTGAGGTAAATCCTCAGCCCCACAATGTACATTTGTACTTTGTGTGTAATTGGAAAACTAAATACTTTCTTTCCAAGATTCCCTCAAACCTTGAAGATGGTGCCAACCATATCTACTTAACAACCTTATTGTCTGCTTAACTAAGAGCGAGGGATTCTAAATATGACAGAATTCAATTCTTTATTATCTTAAATCATAGTTAAAATTTTGATACCAAGATTGGTAGATATTTCTGGAAATAGTTTCCAAGGATGACTTTGTAAGTTAAAAATCAGGATAAAGTATTCAGTCAGAAAGTACAGTGAACTTCTGTCAGGGACTCTATTTATGAAGTTTAGTGTTTTAAATACAAAGCATTGACATACAACATTGAAAGTAAAAAGGAAATAATTTCTTCAGCTTTCAGATTTTAGTAATACCTGATGAGGCTGATGAATCGTGTGTGTGTGTGTTGTGTGTGGTACTGGGGACTGAAATCAGGGGCACTCTCCTACTGAGCTACCTCTCTAGCCCTTCTTTACTTTTCACATTTTGAGACAGGGAATTGTTAAGTTGCCCAAGATGGCATGGAAGTTGCAATCCTGCTGCCTCAGCCTCCCCAGTAGCTGGGATTACAGACATGCACCACTGCTCATGTCTGAGTCTTACTCTTTTGAGTTCTACTGTGAGATTGTTATTTTCCTCCCTTATTTCAGTGTGAATAAAAAGGTTCCACCTGAAGGAACAGCAAGCAGATGAGGTGTACTTTGAAGCTTAAGAGAGCAGAGTCCATCATGTCCCTACAATTCAAGATTGCTGGTTTAGAGATAAATTTGATTCCATCCTCACCAT